CTATTAAGTAAATTTGTTCTTTATATTCTTATTAATATATATTTAAATTTTTATTTTATTTTATTAATTATTTATTGGATTGTAAATAAAAATAAAAATTGAAAATTTGTTCAAAGACTTTTTAGACAAACTGTATTTAATCAACAGTTTATTCTGTAATTTATAGTATAATTTTTATATTTGTTTCAAAAAAAGATCAGTTATTTTAATATTCAAGGTTTCTGCATCTGGAGTATTTTTAAAACACATTTTAAAAATTATTCCGTTCTGTCAAATTAAGAATTCAAATATCAAATTTTTTTTTTTACAAATAAAACAAAAAATTTAATCATTGTATTCGTCACAAAGTCAATTTTCAATGTTCTATTGCACCTTTTCTTTATCTTTACTTTCTAAATTAGATTTATTCACCAACATAGTTCCCACCACGATAAAGCTGGCACCGATCCACCATTGGAATGATAATGCTTCGCCAAAAACAACATTTCCCAAAATTGCCTTTATGAAATAAGGAAAAGAAATCTCATTAAAAAAAATAACAATCCAGAGGAAATTTTTCCTTAATAGAAAACAACTTACGGTCATACAAAAATTAGTTGCACTATTAAATACTGTGACTTGGATCGAAGATGCTGACTTATTCAATGCTTTTGTGAAAAGCGTCCACATCAAAGCGTTGCACCCAAAAATCAAAAAAAAACATAAACCCCTTATAAAATAAATCACCTAATTTTTTTTTTTTTGAGAATGAAAAAGAATGGTTTAGAAAACATTTATAAATTAAATGAAGATTACATCGATTACAGAATTGATCACTCACATTATCCTCCCTAATTCCGGCTTGCCTAAAATTCAGAATATCGCATAACTGTTGAGTAATTAACGCCGTCCGACTGTCTGTGAAAAGCTTTGCAAACACTGATGCCAGAGCCGCAAAAGTTCCGGACAAAAATGGGTACAATAAAGACATTAAGCGGTTGATACTCAGTTGAAACATACTGTATAATATTTATATGGAATTAAGATATGATCCGTGAAACTGTGGTACAAAACCAAAATTCGCTACGTGTACGCTTCGCGTTAAATAGAACTTGTTTAATCTCCATTGCAGAACGTTTAGGGAGCGATAGAATTTCAGATTAAAACAATACATGGAGACATTATTATTTATTAGAAACTATTATAGGTTCTTGTGACCTAACTATATATCTTTTTTTTTTAACAAGAGCAGAAAATGTCTATACTTTCGGTCCAATGAATCAAAAACGGATTATTCTTTGAGAGAAGCACCATAAATTTAATTGTGAAATAAAGCAGACAATAAGTTATATATTAAAAATTGATTAGCAATACCCAAGTACTATCCGTGCATAGAAAACCTTCATTCCTTGATCATTTCATGAAATTCTGTGTTTATAATAAGTTTATAACAAAAAATGCTGAGGATATTTATTTTAGTCTATAATTACTTTTTTAAAAAAATTTTTTTCCAACTACCGTAAAATTTTATTGATATAAAGAGAATTTTGCTATATAAAAAAAGTTTCGATGATAGTATTCGTGAAAAAATACCTTTTTTAAAATATGCTGTATATTAGCTATGAGTTTTTTCAATGACTTTTTCGTTAGGTGAATAATGCCGTTATACTGAAAAATATAATAATATAAAATAAAACACCGAAAAAAGATCAAATTAACTTCATACATATTGGTTTAATCATAAATGCACATATAATAATTAAAAATTAATTTTATATTTCAAACCAAGCCTAATTTATAATATTTGTGAAGCAAAAATCATTCATCACAGATTTTCATTCTGCCTTAGAATACGAATCAATATTTCTATCTTACTATTATCAAAGATCAGTGATGCAAATCATTGTGCAATCGTTATCTTCAACACAACTCAAAGATATTATAATAATTTTTACAAATAATATAACCGATAGCATATACTTTTATTGATATTTAATTTTCCATTTAAACTATTTCAAATACTAATCTCATCGTAATCTTTAATGTCCAGTCACATTTAGCTTTTCGCAAAACCACATTCCAACGAGAGACTGGTTTTTAGAAAAGGAAAAAGTAAAAGCCAAATTTCAAAAAAAAAAAAATGTATACCAATTCATAGAAGAAAACTATATATATATATATATAATCTTATTCAAGGTCTAATAAAAAATTTGTTGTGAATAAAATTTTCACATACATTAGTCGAATAACTTTAAAAAAAAATATGTAAATATTTTACAATTAATTATGTAGTGAAAAGAATACGTAAAATAAAAAAAAACCCTCTATGGCTTAAATGTGGTTGAAATGGAAATACAATGTGTAATGAATCACACGGTGCATGATCTCAAGACTCGCAATAAAAAAACATTTTATTTCTTAGAAAGTTTACAATACACGAAATGTGTAATAAAATTAATGTCGGGAATGAATAAGGTTCTAGATCAACTAAGAACCCTATATAGTCTGATTATCTAAAATTCCTTTTGCAATCACATCCACTTTCACCTCTGCTTTTCCCGGTCCATTTATTGTAACAACACCCTTCACCTCGCCGCTCGCCCTTGGTTGAAATCGCACAGGAATTATAGAATATCCTTCCGGTTTTACCACAACGCTATTCATGGGTAATGACAGTACGAATTTGCCTCCGGGGCCAGTCGTTGTTTCACATTTACATGTTAGTCTAATTGTTTCTTTTGCCACATTTATTATTTTGATTCCCATCGAACGTTGTTTGCTAACCCTCGTAGGTGGTATTTTAATAGTGGTTTCATCTACCTCAAATTTTATTTCCTTTGCCGGTGCTCTGTGTTTTTGTAAAAGTGAACTAAATGTGTTCTCAGTTGATATCCCTTGGAACTTCATAGACACAGCGTCAACCGCTGCCGTCGTACTACCATCTATAGTACCTTCTAGCACATATGTCTGACTGTAGGTGCCAACTCCCAGAGGACGAAACTTAACGTCAACCCGATCTGCATGCTTTGGTCGCAAGAACCCTCTTGGTTTGGTAACCACAAAAATCTCATCTTCAACCTTTTGGGCTGCATTCGTTGCCGTTCCTAGTCGACGAAACATTGGCCTGCTTGCAGAAACAAGGGACCAATTTATGGCATTATCTGTTGGATTAAATACATGGAACACTCCAATAGTTATTTCACGAACGTTCGCTGAAGGGAAATTAATTTCGCCAGAAAGTCCAAGGTGTATGAAATTACTACTAGTCAAATTCTCTCTAAGTGGTTTCATCTCGTAGTTGGGATCATTCAAGAAATTCTGTGAGGCTTTGAGTCTAGACCTATCACCATCTGGAGTGTTAGACCTACTCCTGGAAGGTGTACGGGAGCCACCGGGTGTTGGCGAACCTCTGTTTTTACTCCGAGACACTCTTTTTATCAAATCAGGTGTTTGTGATCTGTTAGCATTTAGTTGTGAAGCAGATGAACGTCTAGAGACCTTACCACTAATTGGTGTGGTTGGTCTGCTATCACCCTGTGAGGGAGACAATGCCGATGGTGAATCGACTGTTCCATTTCCTGGATCAACTGCTGTTTTGTCAGTGTCCGGTGTATCTGGTCGAGTAACCATGAATGTATGATTGTGTGAAGATGCCGTTGATATATTCTTTTCTGTAACTGCTCTATTCTCAAGATCTAAGGGATTTTGGCGAACACTATCAGTTGGAGAAGACACGAGTGCTCCAGGATTACTGCTCTGCAGTTCATCGCTCTCCATTATAGTGGGAAGGTCCGCAAGTACTGGGTGAAAAAAACCATTTGCGTCAAAGCTGTTATCAACTTGCTGGACCATGTCAAGAGACATTGTGTATAAAAAAAAAGAAAAAAACGACAAAAGAAAATCAAACTTCTCAGAGAAATAGAACCACAAATTTTTATTGTAAAATGCCCCTACCTTTTTTTTGCACGACTTTTATTGGACGCCTGCACGTGGTTCCGTTAAACATGCAGAAAAAAGAATAGTACATTTTTCAATACTATCCCAATTAGAAAGTTACATAAATCCGCTCGCAGGTTTTTAAACAACGAAATTTTGAGGCAACCAAGGGGTACCTGCCTTTTACCCGAAATACATATTGAGGTTAAACCATTATCGGTTGTTCGATGGAAGCAAACTTTTTTATTTTGGTGCGAGAACTATTGAAAAAACTGGATAGAACCTGTTACACAACCGATAGAAAACTCGGGAGTGATAGAAAAATGTTAAAGATGGTAATTCTTTACTGCCAATTTTGATTATTTCTCTAAAAGACATGCGCTCGATAATGTATAATCTTTTTTTCGTGCGTGAACGGATAAATCAATTATTAAAATCATTTAATAATTGACAAATAGATACTGTATACTGTAGGACAAATTAATAATTAAATTAAATTATAATTATAAAAAAAAATTTTTCTCAAAATACAAGAGAATTATCATATAAGATACAGGCAGTATATATTAACAAATATCTACTTTATCATCAAAACAGGTGATTTCAAGATAGGAATGTTCACATCTGAAAATTCTAAAATATATATATATATTGTCAATCTTCTTAAATTCTCAAATCACAAAAATCAATTTATACAAATATTTTTTTATAATAGAAATAGATAGTATATTGTTTATTTTCAATATAAAAAAAATATAAAAAAATATTTAAACAAATTTTTAAAAAAAAGAAATTAACTTTATTATTTTAAAATAACAAAAATAATTTTATATTCATAAACTTTTATATAATCATGTATTTATATAAATTTTTTGTTATAAAAAACTTCAAAGATTTTATATTTAAAAGAAATTTTAAAACAATAATAACTTTATTAAAATAAAAAATTATTTAATAAATATTTATTATTTGTATTAAATCTTGAAATCAAATATATTATATTACATATTGCCTATTAAATTATATATTTTTGATAATTTAAAATACATATATATAATAAAGTTTTTTGTTATTTAAAATTATATTATTATACTGATACTAATTATTTTAAAGCTTTTTAATTAATTTTGTTAATTTTTAATATTAATAAAATCTATAAAAAAATTAATTTTAAAACAAAATAATATTTATTTTTTGATTTTTTTCTAATAAATTCTATTATTTATTATATAATATAATTCTATTATTTTATTATTACTAATTTAAATATTACTATTATAGTTATTTATAAAAATATTTATGAAATTAAAATATAATTTTAAAAAAGTTTAAATTTTCTAAAAAAAAATTATATAATATTTCTTATATTAAATTTTTATAGTTTATTTAAAAATATAAATACTTTTAAAGTAATAATTAATTATTAAAATTTTAAAATAATTTTTTAATACTATATTTTTTTAAATTTAAATAATATAAAATATTATTAAATATATTCTTCCTACTAATTTTTTCATCAATTTAAAAAATAGATATTATTGAAATTTTTTTAATTTTTGAATAACAAAGTTTAAATATGTTTTTTAACAATATATATTTTTAAAAACAAAAGTTTCTTTACTTGTTTATATTTCTTTCTTTAAAACTCTGAATATTTTAGTAACAAAATAATTAAAAACTTATTTATTTGATTTATGGTCAAAACATTTTACTAAGAAAAAAAAACTTATTAAAAAAATATTCTCTTTTATTCTATCTCAAGATCTGAAATTCTAGAAGAGTGTACCAATAAATATATTTTAAAAGCTTTATAAAAATTTTAAATTTATTATAAGTAAATATTTTTTGTTAAAAATAAATAAATAAATCAATAAAAAAAATAATAAAAAACTCTCTCCTGATCGCGTCCGTTTGTTAAAAATTTTCCTTTTATGGTAATTTTAAGCAAGAAAAAATGTTTTACACTCTTTATCGCAAGTGAGCCTCA